TTTAATAAGGCAGTCTAGTCACTGTCAATGACGATGCTGGCAATGAGCTGCCAATTTTTTTTTATGGAATTTTTGTTTTTTCTTTCATTGTTATTTTGGTCAATGGCTTAATTTGGTATCACCGTTGTGGCATTTTCTGTAATTAAATCACTTTTAAGGTCTTAAACCTTGTCATCTTGTTTGTTGATGCAGGAATCTTAGAGAGTTGGATTTGCGGGAGAGTGAAGTGGAGGATTTGAGTGGGAATTGGCTCAGCCATTTTCCTGAGACATGCACATCACTTGTATCTCTTAACATTGCATGTTTAGGGTCTGAGGTTAGTTTATCAGCTCTTGAGCGCCTATTAGGTAGGTGTCCGAACCTGAGGACTCTTCGGCTCAACCGTGCTGTACCTCTTGACAAGCTTGCCAACCTACTTTGCCAGGCACCTCAGCTTGTTGAGTTAGGCACAGGTGCCTATTCTGCTGAGCTGCGAACGGAGATCTTCTCAAATCTGGCAGGAGCTTTTTCAGGGTGTAAGGAACTTAAGAGCCTGTCTGGGTTTTGGGATGTGGTCCCTGCTTACCTTCCAGCTGTTTATTCTGTTTGCACTGGACTGACATCATTGAATTTGAGCTATGCAACTATTCAATGTCCTGATCTTATCAAGCTGCTTAAATTGTGTCCAAATTTGCAGCGCCTTTGGGTAGGTTTGATCTTATATAAAGTTTTTGTTGACTCTTAGTTGTCATCTCATTCCTTCTACTCTTTGCTTGTATCCAAAAATTTTTGTTTAGCTGCTAGAGGAGATGCTTCCTTGTTGTATATTGCAAAATAATTGACCTAGGGTTTCCTTTGAATTTCAATTCTGGGCATTTGAAGTTTAATTACCGATTTCATCTAGGAGTTCCCTCTATTTGTTCTGTTAACCTACTTTTGATCTTTTTCTCTAAAAACTTACAATACCTTGTATCATCTTATTGCTATACTTGGACTAATCGAGGACACCATTGCAATTTGCAGGTACTGGATTACATTGAGGATAGTGGCCTTGAAGCCCTTGCCGCATCTTGCAAGGATCTGCAGGAATTGAGGGTATTTCCATCCGAACCATTTGGTGCTGAGCCAAATGTATCCTTGACGGAACAAGGCCTGGTCTCTGTCTCTGAGGGCTGTCCTAAGCTTGAGTCGGTTCTCTATTTCTGCCGCCAAATGTCTAATGATGCTTTAGTTACCATTGCTAGAAATCGTCCCAATATGACTCGTTTTCGGCTTTGTATTATTGAGCCACGGACTCCTGATTACCTGACTGACCAGCCACTTGATGTCGGTTTTGGAGCCATTGTTGAGCACTGCAAGGATCTGCGGCGCCTCTCCCTTTCTGGTCTCCTCACAGATCGTGTGTTCGAGTACATAGGAACCTATGCTAAAAAGTTAGAAATGCTTTCTGTGGCTTTTGCTGGAGAAAGTGATTTGGGACTCCATCATGTGCTTTCTGGGTGTGATAGCCTTCGGAAATTGGAGATTAGGGACTGTCCCTTTGGTGACAAGGCTCTTTTGGCCAATGCTGCAAAGCTGGAGACAATGCGATCCCTTTGGATGTCTTCGTGTTCGGTGAGTTTTGAAGCATGTAAGCTGCTAGGTCAGAAGATGCCCAGGCTGAATGTTGAAGTTATTGATGAGAGGGGACCTCCAGATTCGAGGCCTGAAAACTTACCCGTTGAGAAGCTTTACATATATAGAACTGTCGCTGGGCCAAGGTTTGATATGCCTGGTTTTGTGTGGAATATGGATGAAGATTCTGCATTGAGGCTTTCTTGAAAGGTTTCCAAACCATTAACGCTTTCTATGTAACAAACCAAACCCCTTGGATATGTAGCAGGTACATGCTCTATATGCTGCTCATTGTTTCACATTTAATTTTCTGTAGCTTAATATATAATTGCAGCCCTTATTGGAGTGGGGGAGAAGATAAGGAGGGTATACAGAGGCTCAAGAGCTCTATTGCCATTGATTTTACACTTGGCCGAGCTATGGCATACCAACTAGTGTTTAATAAAGAGATAAAAGCTCCTGTTTGTTGTTGTGTATTAATCAGAGTTGTTATTTTACTTCGGCATAGTCACCCATGTATACTATTTGCAGACTTTTGCAAGCATTTGTATCACCTGTTCTTGTGAACTTATTTGTGTCATTGTTAGCTTTGAGGAATAAAATTTCAAATTTTGTTACAATTACATGATTCCATTTGGTTAAAGTTGCTTTGTTTAAAAATGGAATGATAATAGTATGGTCTTGATTCTTGAAACCATTTATTTATACAAAAAGTTTTGAAGCCATAAATTATGGTATCAAACTGGAAACAGCTTGGTAATTGGCGTCGCGCGAGACAAGTACAACTGTAGTCCCCTGGCTTTTGAGACTAAACACATTTAAATAAATACGGATGAGATTTCAGTTTCTTTGTTTAACGACCATCAGGGCATTTGGCAACTTCAAGAGCTGGCATTCCATATTTAAGAAATGGAACTAGTTAGGAGTTAGGAGGATGGAGTTCCACAGTTTTCAAGGACGAAAACACAAATGATAATAAATGGTTGATGGAGGAGGAGGAGGAGGAGAGGTGAAAAAGGTCTGGGTATATGATTTCAATTTTCTGCTTCAGGTATGTGTAATATTCAGCTTTTTTTTTTCCCTTCAGAATTTAAGGGCCTCGACTGTTGTGCCACGTGATAGATTCGGTAACATTGGTTAGTGTCCACAACTTTTGCTACGTTCACGCTCTATAATTACGAATTTACCCATGAATTTATCTTAGAGTGACTCTTTTACCCTTAACTTTATTTCAAAAATAAATATTGAAATTATTGTGCATAACTTATACAAAACTTTTAAAACGTTAAAAAATGTAATAAAAAATCTTTAAATAACTAAAAAGAAATACAAAATCTATTTTTAATATTTTTAAAAAAAATTGAAATTGACCAAGCATGAGTGACGTGAACCTGGCATGACAATATCACGTCCGATCTAAGCTCAAGTTCATTACACGCTTAATATCTAGTTCAAGAAATTTGAATTAACTTGATCCAAAAGTATTAAAAAATATGTTAGAGAGTCTTTCTATAAGCTTTAGAATAAGACTACAAATCTGCTACTTGTAAATTAATATGCACATATTTGAATTGATATGTACATATTTGAACCATCATATCTACTTGTGATTTGTGAACTCAAGCTATCAGTATATATTCCAAACATTGTATTCAATTGAGAATAATATAATAAAGTTTACGTTGTTCTTGTTTTTTGCATTCTTCTTTTTGTAAATCGTCTATTTATTATTTTAGATTTTTTAAATTCTTTGTATATTATTTTTATTTTTAATTACGTAGTTTCAGAATTTTACTTTTTTCAGAAATTTCATTTTAATTTTGTTTTGCAGCAGAAGGTCTAATTTACCCTCACTGGTTTTATGCCCTGAAGTCTGAACTAATAGCAGGGGTTGTACATTGTAGTTTCTAAAAGAAGTGGTGGCTACGTGTAGTCTTTTAGGTTTTAGGGGGTGTATAGGGTATTAGCCCCACTAAAAAGCATTAATTACGTAGTAAATAATTTTTTAAGACAGAAAATTATAGCATTAATTATGACAGAAAATTATATGCAGGTTAATCAAAAGATAGTTGGATTGGCGTTGGCCGCGCAAGTGGTGTAATCAAAGTAGCAGATTTATTTCTTCTCTTTTTATCCATCCAAATCCAGATCCATTGATGATGGCCGCACGTTTGATGTATTTATGATCATCATCATTTATATTCTCTGTTACTTATCATTGTTGCTGAATTCATATATGCTTCTTTTTACTGTTTCAGTTCATTATGATGTTACAATCACTTATCCATAAACGAGTTACAATGCATGGTGATGGTCCACGTCTCTCTGTAAATTGGCAGTATCCCAAGTTTAGTCTTATTGGTGAATCGTGATTCTACCATCACCCCCACTCCATTACAACAATGATGCTCTTTATGATTTTATTACCATACAGTTCCTTCTTTTTATGTAAACAGTTTGAGATTTTCTTATGCTTATTTACCATTAATTCATTTTTTCGTTTGATTAGAAAAAGACTCACCAATGTGAAACTTGGAATTTCGTTGCCAAGCTTTACCTAAACTGAATGGAAACACTAGAAAAAAAATAGTGTCAATGACCCAGTCAATGGGCTCAGTTCAGTATGTAATCACATGCACCCAATGATCACGACATTCTTTAACCAGTTTGTCGTTTCTGTTTCTAGTCTTTTGGAGTCACAATTGTGCAGCGGACGACCTCACGATTGAGGATATTTCCATGATTTTACAAAATTTTCCAGATTTAAACTTGACTTTTCACCGTAGAAAATAATAAAACTAAGAATTTGACTTTGAAAAAACAACGAAATCATCTGAGATTTATAGGAATCGAATCCCCTTCTCCTAAATATTCATAATCATAACCATAATCAATTAGAAGGAAAGCGTTTGATATGGGGAAGCTTATTTGCTCGGAAATAGCAGAGGGTGGATTGGATCTGATGGGCCTAATCATGGCACTCGTAATTGCTCTCACTCTCATGCTGGTTTGTGTCCAACCTCCTCCACGCCCCCGCTATATTGTGTCTGCCTATCCTGTTGCAGTAGTTCGGAAGTAGAGGTCAATTCTTGAATAAACTTTTGTAATCAGCTTTTATTTTCACGAATAGCCTATGGGCAGAGCTTTGTAATCTGTATTTTCATTTTATGGGCATACTTCTGTAATCTGCATTCATTTCATGAGTAGGGCTTGTTTAATTTTTGGTGGTCTTTCCTTCCCTAATGTTATAATGATACCTAGGAATTTGTTATCAGGAGTCATAATTCTCCTCAGAGAGTCCCTGTAATTGTATGCACTTTCTAAATAAAACAGGTTTCATGGTCTGTTGCACAGCTGAGTTTATTATAAATTTTTGTTCATAATGCTTGCTTGTACAACTGAGATTATTATATACAAAGGCACAATCTTTCAGCTAACAAAAGCACATCCTAGTAGAATTTTATTCCATTACAATACTGTTTTCCCCAGATGTAAGATATCATAAAGCAAATTAACAGGATTTATATATCTAACAAAACAAATAAGTGCTGAATTAAACAATTACAAAAAAACATAAAAACAATGTGGCACTCAACTTCAGTTTATCAATGATCTAAACAAGCTACAACAGACGTTTTCTTTTTTCTTTTTTTACTAAAATCTCTTTAATCTGAAAAGCTATGACAGATGAACTTTTATCTATCCTGTTTTGACAAAATTGTTGAAGATTTCTTATCAACAGAACTTGTGCTACCATTTCATGAATAAGGTATAACAGCTAAAGATGCTGAATCTCAAACTAGTTACTGTTATTGACTGAGATTCTGCTAGAGCTTTGAATTGTCTGCAGAAGATGTTCAATCCTGTACTTCATTACAGGCTGACCATATTTCGTTTTTTTGAACATCTTTGCTCTTGTTGCTTTCCTTTCAGCTTCAGCCTTTTCTCTCCCTACCTTCTTTGCTTGAATACTTGCCTCCCTCTCTATTCTTGCCTGCTCTTCTTCTTCACGCTTCTTCTTATACAATTCTTCCATACTTGGTTTCTTCTTATTCTTGTTCTTTATATTCTTCTCATCAACATCTCTAGTTCGATTTTGATCCTGCTACAGCCATTGAAAATTGGATGATTCAGTAATATCAAGACCTATATGCATATACATATCAAAGATTAAATTCTGATACCTAACTTTAATCTGTAAATTAGGTTCCAAAACAGGGTGGTATAGATTTCAAAAAGAAAACTACACTGCATTGGAAAATATAAATAAACATATTCAGGAGTCACCCAGAGAAACAATTTGAATCTATCAACTCAACCTGTTACTTCATCCTCTATATCCACAAGTGCAAATGCAATTGTAGAATACTTAGCATCAGAATTGAAAATTAGCTACTGAAGAACTATAAACAGTATACAATCACTTGTGAAAAGCAATACAGTGACTTAAGGCATTTAGCTTCAACCTGAAGATATATATATATCTTTATATATATATATAGAGAGAGAGAGAGAGAGAGTATAGTCACAAACCTCTATGGGTCTTACAGCCGAGAAAGCATCAATCTGTTGACTTTGTTGCTTCAAAGACTGCTTATACTTGCTCACATACTTAGCATTCTTATAGAACTCCCTTTGCTTCTCTGATAAAAACAGCAAGAAGATTGTAAAGAGACAAGGTACTGAACCAAACTCTACAACCTCACTATCCCTTACTATTTCCACATCCTCCAAAAATCAAAATTCAGAACATTTAGGCATTCTATTGGCTCTTTGTTCAAATAAAAAGACAACAAATTGTCCTAAACCACACATTAATAAGCTAGTAATCAATCGAAAAAAATTCAAATAAAAATTCATACATTAACCCTTTCAGAGTGTTCTAGTTATCAAGATTGATGAAACTCTAGCTCGTTACAGATTCAAGCTCAACCAATTTACTCTATATCCCATTTGCAGAGTGAACTTCAATTAACACTGTTATTGTTAAAAAAATAAGATAAAAAATTCGTATGGCATCAAATTATAATTGCATTTTCATAAAAACAAATAACTAAACCCAGAACAAGACAAACATTGCACAACTTAAAAGCCCTCAACCTAGTTAACATCCGGTCTAGACTAAAGTTATATACACATAACTCACCATTCCCATTATATAATTAAATAAACAGAAAACCATAGAACTAAAAAGAAATTATAAAAAATCAACACAAGACCAAATAAAGTTTCAGGCTAAAATTTAAAGCTTAAAAGAAGATTAATTTATTACTTTTGAATGCTGGATTGTACTTGTTGCTCATCGATTTGGCATTAGCAAAAGCTTCGAGAGAGAGGCCGGTCCCTCCCAATCTCTGCATGTTCTTCTTCTTCTTCCTGTTGTTGCCCATGCTTGAAGTTGAGCCGTTGATTTTGTAGACTTTCTCTTCATCTTTGGAGTCACGATGCTTCATGGTTGCAAGAATATCGTGTAATTGCTGTGATTCTGATTACTGATTAATGAATTTAGGGCAATGGTAAGGATGGCACGAATTGATACTTGGGAACCCTAATTTTGCAGCGGTTTTCCAATTTCCACGCTATAAAATTGAAGTTTGCTCAATTCTCTAAACACCCCTCAAACTTTTGAAAATATTGCTACCTCACCTCATCTGTTTATTATTACTAAAGCAACCCTATGATAATTCTAGGGAAGGTTGGAAATTTCAAAAAATATAGGGGTATTTCAAATTAAGATAAACTTAAGGGGAGACTAGAGAATTCAATTAGCCTTAATGGCTATAAATTAATAATATATGTTTATTTTCAAATTTCAAGTTAAGAGTAGTAATAATTATTTTGGGTTTTTAATAAGTTAGAATTTGTTGTTTAGCAAATTATAAAATTAGAATTTTATAATAAATTTAAATTTAACTGCGACTATGTTGACAGACTTGACCATTGATACATTTTGACTTTAAACTTTTCTACTTCCCAAAAGTAGTATTAATTAGAGTATATGTTTTCCTTAATTACTAAATTTAATTTTCAAAATGAACATTATTAATTTTATAAAAGTATTTTTATTATTACAAAAATATATTAGATAAATTATTAGGCAATAAGAAATACATATATAATTATTTAAAAAAAAAAAAAAAAAAGTAATAGAAGTCGCCATGAAGCTCTGCATGTTAAAAATTAGTCATCTTTCACTCCATTTTCATCTTCATATTACAAGGGAGAGAGTAAATAATATAAAGAAACAGTTGGAATTCCTTTAATGTTCTTGTTATATTACATTGACGTGCAACAAACAATGAATTACTTTTCTTGAGAAAAAAATGGGATATAATGAGAAAACGATTAGGCTAAATCCCACTTTGAAAGAGGAGGAAAACCAAGGCAATCCGCAATCCCATGCATATAAAGAAAATACAAGACAATTCTGTTATGCGAATATCATTTAGTTTGCCGTGCACTCAAATCCAATCTCTTTCCTCTTTTCAACACCATGTTAACACAGAGGTGGAAAGTTTGAAGATATAATACTTTTTACTTTGCAGCAGAGAATAAAATTGTACTTATAACTAATCAGATGATGTTCATTGCATCTTTAATATTTGCTGCAACCAGCGTGTTATATAGTTGTATTTGATTAACATGCATAAGATGATCCCATGTTTTTGTATGAGATATATTTCCACATGGAACAACAATTTAAGCTCTATTTTTATTTATAAATAGGCCAAAAATAAAAAATAAAAATATAATTCCATCTATCGATTCCTGTCGTTGGAGTATGAAGTGTCTCGCATATATATATATATATATATATGGCCGATAAATTTTAACTGATAGGCTAATGGTGACAGCTCCCGGATCACACATTTTCTTCACTTGGTTGAATATAAATGTGTAGTCCATTCTAAATTCCTTCAATTTGTTGTGGGCGATCAGAATTCTCCCTGGCAGATCAGCTATACTGTTATGTGGATTCCATTACTTCCTCTTTGGATCAACTACGGCATGATTCGTTTCTTCTTTACGTAGATGAGGTATAGTATCATCTGTGGTGACCCCAAATGCTAGGCCCATAATGTTTGGTGTCTGATTAAGAACCAATACCATAAACATTGAGTACAAGTATTAGAAAATAATTTAGCTTTAATAGGATTAAGAAACTTGTATATATATATACTTACTGCGATGTAGAAATCCCACCAGAAAGGCCATACCTGAACCCATAACAGCGCAGATTGTGAGGCAGAAGGAGAGTGAAAATGGCATGATTCTACGCTCTTTGTTTTTATGACTAACCTCTAAAAATATTGATCAATCAAAGAAACACAGTTAATATTGATAATGAAAAGTGAGTTGCGCATCAGAGTTGGTGTAAGTACGTACAATGACACTAAGAGGAGCAGCAAAAACACAGACAGAGAAGACAGCACAGATCCATCCCACCACTGCAATTCGTCGAGGGCCCGTGAGAATAGGTAGGTGAAGACTACAATCAACCAAATGCTCCGAAGTTGAAGAAGATGAGCAACTCCGTAGAAATCTGCAATTAAGTAGTACAAAGTACAATAATATTTCACCACCTAAATTCACAATAAAGAAGTGATGAAATACCTTGGAACTTTTGGTTGCAAATATGTAGAAGAGAGGTATAAGGATTCATGACGCATCCAACTGAGTTGATGGTTATGAGCATAAATGCTTAGCCTTCAGGTAGGCATAGTACAACGTCAGCATGGCGCTAAACAGTGCACTGAATATGGTTGATTGGAACCCTTCTGTCGATTTTTTCTTGAAAATGCGATAGAAGGTTGGCCTGTAATAAATTATAAGTAACAACTTAATTCAATTAAGTGAAATTCCAATAAATTATACAAAGAACGAATAAGAGAAGAGAGAAAGAGAGAGCTTACAATGGTGCCATATAAACAAGGCATGACACAATGTTACCTGCACAAAATGAAGATCATAAATTTTGATATACCAGGATATCAAATAGGGTCAAGAATGAAAGAACGTTTGATAAGTAAGTATACCAAGAAGGCCAAAAATAATAGGCGTGTGAGTTCCAAGTATCGCCATTCTTGGTTTGAAGTAAGTGCCTGCGAGTAAAGCAGTTGAGAGTAGCACAGGGAGCTTATGAATTATTTGCAATGAATAGGTATAATACAGGTAGAAGTGGCAGGTGCTGACATAGAGAATTGCTTTGTACAATATTCACTTTGTTTTGGAACAATAACTGTTCCGGAAATTTTGTGGGAAGCAATACAAAATACTGAGAGCTGGATACTTTAATTATACGAGCGTTATAGAACATTAATAGAACGCGTCTTTAAAAAGTCACTGAATTAAGGTTAGATAGCACATAACTTAGCTGTTGAAATATAAATGCATATTTACTTTGGGTAATTATACTGCAAAGTGCCCATTTATTGCTCCTCAGTAAGCTAGCCAAGTGAAGTTTACATTTTTGGTTCCTGACAAAGTTTGATGGTAAGTATGAATTAAAAAGGAAGAAAAAATAAGTGAAGTTGGCATGCATAATCAGAATAGGCTACTTTGTATTAGTTTAATTAGTGGTTGTGTGGATGTGGCTTGAAAAGTAAAGCGGCTTTTGAGATTGGAGGCAATTGTTGACGTGAAGAAAATGATGATAGTAATGGAAATAGCTAATTGGGGACTTGTTTACGTTTGCTAAGTTGGATTTAGCAGGAGATATCATAACCCCACTTCGCTCGCCGTTACGTTTAAACGGATTCCACTCTACCTTTTTCCTCCAATTACATGAACCAACCCCATTTCTTTTCAAATCAGTTACTCCATATCTATCGTGATCTCGATCTTCTTCTCGTCAATTTAACTATCACAAACTGACCATACTTTTTTAATCAATCAATTACTGTATTAATTTCATAAGGGTATTTTCTTATCATACTAATAATAATACTAAATATGCCAGTAGTTTAACACGTTTAGTGTCGATATAAATATAAATTATATGAATGATCTTCTTCATAAATTGAGGCTTAGCTATCTACTTTAATAAAAACTCCTAAATTGATACCAATATATATCTACTTGTTTACGTATTATAATTGTCTCTTTTTTTGGTTTATGATTGCCTTCGTAGTTGATTATGCATATACAAATAGAAACTGATATTTAATTAATGGGGGCTAATTAAGGAACATTTCAAGAGCAAATAGGCAGGAATCTTTCTATAATAAATAATTGACATCTATGGAATTCAGTAATTTACAAGAAAATCAAACGTACGCTATCCCTATCTATCATTTAAGTTAATTGAGTTAAGATCAAATCCAACCATACCAAACATTTTAACAGTAGTGGTGTTTAATTATTTATTATAATGCATTCCATCTTTAAATATTTATATAATGTATTTTAAAAAATACTCAATTAATTCGTATTGCGCAGTAAAAATGAAAGAAGTATCGTGTACGTTTATTTCAATCAGTTTAGGAAAATTCTAGAATATGACCTTATTATAGTAGTGAAAATCACTTTAAAATGTTGTCACAACTAGTGGGTAACAAATCAATTGATCTTTAAATTAACAAGTTAATTAAGACAAGCAAAGCATTTTCAAATGTTGCGATCGAATTAAGGAGAGAAGAGTTATACATATCTATCTCTGATTCTCAATGTTGCGGCCAGGGACTCCACATTAAATTAAGGGGAATCGACTTACACCTATCCAAGGTTTGGTGAAACGATAGATTGGTAGCTAAAAGGTTTGAAAACGATAAACATGTACCTTTCGTCATGTGCTGTTAGTGATTTCCGTTTGCTAATGGTGAAAAGACTAGAATGCCCTTGAAGTTTGATACTTTAGTTTTTTTAAAATTTGTAAAAAAAACCCTAGGTTTGCTAATTTAACTAAACACCTTAATATATAAAAATTTTATAAAATGACCAAAACACCCCCACCACCCGCAATGTCAGATTCCGGCCACCACCACCGGAATCTGGCCGAAAAGTTGCGTTACACCGTAGACCAGTCGAATCTGGCGCGTAGCGCGCTTATATGGCATTTTCCAGCCAGATCCACCATGGATCTGGCCAAAAAAGGCCAGATCTACGGCCAGATTTGGCCGTCGACGGTCGCAACACTCCATCTTTGGCCGTCAGTGATGGCCAAAGATGTGGCCGTCGTTGACAATCAACGACGACCATTTCTTTGGTCGTCACGTTCCGGCCAAATCGGTGATTTACCGGCCATTTTCGGTGGTGGTGTAGACCGTTGTGACAGATTCCGTCCACCACCATTGGCGGTGGCTGCTAGAATCTGGCAAGTATGGGTGGGTGGGGGTCTTTTTGTTAATTTTTAAACTTTTTTCTGGGGGTATTTGATGAAATTAATAAACTTAAGGGGTCTAAAAATAATTAAAAAAATAGACTAATATTTCTCAGAGGGCATTCTAGTCTTTTCACCATTAGCAAACGGAAATGACTAACAGCACATGACGGAAGGTACTTGTTTGTCGTTTTAAATCTTTTGGGTATCAATCTGGCGTTTAGCCAAACCTTGGGTTGGTGTAAGTCGTTTGGCCTTAAATTAAACCACATATAAAATACAATTTGAAATTGCCTGGCTTCACTTGCTGATCAAATTGTTCGAGGTCACGAGTGTGATTATTTTTTCTATTAAAAAAGAAAAAAACGTTTATTTACACTAAACATGCTTAACTTAGTATTTAAATATACGTGGGGTTCTATTGGGAGAGGTAGGTGGAATATATATTGAATAAGTAGATGTACAGCACAGCCCAGTGGCTTCCCATTTCCTTTGTGTAATTTTATGGTTGGTCCAAAGAGAAAAGGCTGTAAATGATGATGCATTACAACCCACCTGAAAGCAACAGAACAAAACAACTCCTTCAAATCAATCACATATTTCGTTTTAGCCTTAGCCTTAGTAATTCCCATTTATTTATTTCTCCAGAGTTTGGTTGTGTGGTAGTTCACTCACCATATAAATGTCTAATTACATGTTCATTTGAAGGTGCTACATAATAATTAGACGTTTAAACATTAATCATGCTAATTACATATATAAATTCCTCTATAACTTTTAAGAAACTAACGACACTTGTAAATCTGGACATTAAAAACATGTTTTGTTTTTCATGAGAAGTACTGAATTCAAATAGCGAACACAGGCTGTACTCTGCAAGAGTAGTGCATATTTCAGCAGCAAACTGAAACAGAGACGCTGTGCACAGTGTGGTCTTATTTAATGCCTTGAATGCACCTACAAGTCTACAACCTCCCCCTCCAATGCCCATCTACTCCTTTTGTACTTATATATCCATTAAACCACCCATACTTGCCCTCTACTTTTGGCAAAAACTATGGACAAGCCCAAGAGCAACAACAACATAATGGATGGAGTTGGGAGCAATGTGAAGAAGGTGATTGAGAATTCAAAGACTGAAAGATATGGTGATATCATGCTTCGCGCTCTTGCCTTCATTCTCACCTTCATTTCTGCCGTTGTTGTGGGTGTCGATAAGGAGACTCAGATGGTTTCTTTCACTCTTGTCAAAACTTTGCCTCCCCTCCATGTTCCTGTCACTGCTAAATGGCAGTATATGTCAGCTTTTATGTAAGTTAAAACTGTCTTTCTTTGCTTCAAGTTATTAGGATTTCTTATTAATTATTATTTTTTCAATATCGTTTATAATTATGTTATTATATATTGGTAGGTACTTGCTGGTATCAGATGTTATAGCATGCGCATATGCAGGAGTATCGTGGGCATATTGCATGGCCAAACCGAAACTAAATAATAGGTTGGAATTAGTAATGACATTGGTAGATTTAACAATGACGGGACTGCTATTCTCGGCTACAGGAGCTGCCATGGCAATAGGAGTGCTGGGTATGAATGGGAACTCGCACGTACAGTGGCACAAGGTTTGCAATGTGTTCGGTGACTTCTGCCGGCAATTTGAGGCTGGACTTGTGTTGTCTCTGCTTGGATCGTTTGCGTTCCTTTTGCTGGTAGTCCTAGCTGTTTTCAATCTCTACAAGAGATCACGGTAGATAATAATAATAATATACAAGTTGATCTGATGGAGCAGGAGCACTTGGTTGATGGGTATAACTATTGGTAATTAGTTTATTTTATTATTTGGACATGTATAATTAATTGCTTGTTGGTGGGTGAGGCTGTATGACTAGTAAATGCCCTTTTGCTTTCTATTAATTAAATTTCATCCACTTCCAGACTGCCGGTTAGTGTTTTTTCAACAATAAAAATAAGTTATTTTTGATGGGCTACGGCTATGCTGAAACCCAGTTGAACACACATCCTTAAGTTTTCTACACGTCTCTCATTTAATTTGTTTCCACCTACAAACGAAGACTCAATTATTTATACCCTCCATTAAGTATTACTGTTATGTTCCACCCACCCACACCAAACTTAATTACTGTTCTTCTACGTTGAATTAACTTCTAATCTATGTGGCAAGAAAAGTAATTGGGGTTGTAAATAAAATAACACCTAAGCGGATTGTTATTCTCTAGAATATTCTTATCTTCTGTTATCAACTAACAAAACTGAACCACAAAATGATTAATCTAAATTATAATTGCTTCAACTTAATCAATAATTAACCTTTCATATGATCTTAACGAAACTCAAAGCCACCTCTCTGCGTACGTAGCACAACACAGAGGCAGTTGCAAGAGCAAATTCATCTACTCAACACAAGACTTTACAGTACACACAATACATGACTAACTTCTCCTGACAAAAACCATTTTTTAATACACTACTCATCCTGATATAAGCTGTGCTAGAGATTCGTCAGTGGTTACTGCTTACAAATGTACCATTAATGATCAATCTTTGCAAAACGTCCTTTAACTCTAGTCCTGCTTTCAGCCCGAACCTTTCTTGATTCATATCTGATGTGTTTATCATACCTGTTATAATCCGCTCTACAACCGTCAGTTTAAAACCAAACATAAACATATATGCATAGGAACCCATCAAAGTACACTGTCAGCTACATTTTATAATTTATATTTAAGTCCATGATGAATCATTTTATAAAAACACTTTTCTGAAAGCCAGAATATCTTGTTAAGAAATCATTTTTTGCACAAAATTAATAGACTACTGCAATTCTTGGAAATTAATAGGTGAAAAGGGCGTTATACCTCCGTGTTTTCTTTTTCTCCTTGTACCGTGAGAGTGCAGAATCTCTTTCTTGACTGTTTAACTCGTGTAGACCAACTTTAGCAAAAACTGGTAATGTTTCAGTAGTAACTGGATGTTGAGATCCCCCTTCATCACCATCACTGACAACCCTTATACGGCCACCGATATCTGAATGTTTGTCTGGGACAACAGAAATGTCCTCAAAATGGTTTCTTGATACCATTGAACCAGGGATGTAACTAGGATTCTGAGTCAAATGGGTTCAAATCATCAAAGTTGATAAATTTACAATAAAATATATATTGAAGTAATAAACATAAAAAATGTACTTTTAAAATTTATATATACCAAATTATCAGTTCTACAATTGTCCTCGACGATTTTTTATATTTTGAAAACGTTGCATAATTTCTTCATTGACAATTCTATCAAACATCTCTCTCTCAATATATGTAATGAGTTAATCATTTAATAATTGATCTCCCATTCGATTCCGTAGTCGATTTTTCACAATTATCATAGTAGAAAATGTCATTTCAACACTTGCAATTGCAACATGTAATATCAATGCTAATTTTATATCTAAAAAGATAACAACACAAACAAAAACACCCACATTTTCTATACTATACTTCTACCAATTTACATATTCTCTAAACCAAATGGGATTTAAACAATGCATTAAATTCCTAGTTGCTCGCTGTTTAAAATTATGATTGTGTGGTTAGCAAAGTTCTTTTTGCAAATATGTCTTTCTCACTTTGACTCTATCATTATGATGATATTCTAAAATTTTAATCCTCAATTCAAGATCTGCAGGAAGACTACTCAAGTTAAGCTCAACATATGTTTGTCTTGAACTAAATTTCATATGCTCATTGTGAACACTATCGTGACGTCTTATGTTTGTTCAATTGATGGTTCCTCGTTAGAAATCTTTCTTTTGATCAAAAAACTTGTCCATAACTAAAAAAATAAAAGAATTTTATTATCAGGAATATAATTTATTTGCAATTACAATTAAAAAAAACAAAATTTATAAAATTCAACTCATAACTTAGGTTTTTTTAACAATTTCTACTCACCCAATAAAATTCAACTCATAAACCCATGAAAACTCATCAAATCTAACTCTAAATATCAAGTAAATAACCAATATATAAAAATTAAAACAAATAAACAAATCTCTACAAATTAGGGTTTCATCAATTCTTTAAACCATATTCAAAATTAACTCAATAACTAACCACAATTTATCAAACCCAACTTAAAACAACAATTAATTAACTCATACCTCAATATAAACAAGATTAAATCAAAACTCACATCAAAATCTAGGAATTATTTCAAACATATTTATTAAACTCAACAAAAATCCAAATGAGTAACCTTTCATGATCTTTCATCAATTATGACATGTTAAGTTATTGAGTTTCAAATCAAATCCAACCCATACCAAACATTTTAACAGTAGTGTGTTAATTTTATTTATATATAGATGCATTCCATCTTTAAATTTTTATAAATGTATTTTAAAATACTCAATTAATTCGTTATTGCGCAGTAAAATGAAAGAAGATTCGTGTACGTTTATTTCAATCAGTTTAGGAAAATTCTAGAATTGACTTGACTTATTATAGTAGTGAAAATCCTTTAAAATGTGTCACAACCTTAGTGGTTAACAAATCAATTGATCTTTAAATTAACAAGTTATAAGACAAGCAAAGCTTATTTCAAATGTGTGCGATCGAATTAAGGAGAGAAAGAGTTATACATATCTATCTCTGATTCTCAATGTTGCGGCCAGGGACTCCACATTAAATTAAGGGGAATCGACTTACACCTATCCAAGGTTTTGGTGAAAACGATGATTGGTAGCTAAAAGGTTTGAAAACGATAAACATGTACCTTTCGTCATGTGCTGTTAGTGATTTCCGTTTGCAATGGTGAAAAGACTAGAATCCCTTGAAGTTGATACTTTAGTTTTTTTAAATTTGTAAAAAAACCCTAGGTTTGCTAATTAACTAAACACCTTATATATAAAAATTTTATAAAATGACCAAACACCCCCCACCACCCGCAATGTCAGATTCCGGCCACCACCACCGGAATCTGGCCGAAAAGTTGCGTTTACACCGTAGACCATCGAATCTGGCGCGTAGCGCGCTTATATGGCATTTTCCAGCCAGATCCACCATGGATCTGGCCAAAAAAGGCCAGATCTACGGCCAGATTTGGCACGTCGACGTCCAACACTCCATCTTTGGCCGTCAGTGATGGCCAAAGTTGGCCGTCGTTGACAATCAACGACGACCATTCTTGGTCGTCACGTTCCGGCCAAATCGGTGATTTACCGCCATTTCGGTGGTGGTGTAGACCGTTGTGACAGATTCCGTCCACCCACCATTGGCGGTGGCTGCTAGAATCTGGCAAGTATGGGTGGTGGGGGTCTTTTTGTTAATTTTTAAACTTTTTTCTGGGGGTATTTGATGAAATAATAAACTTAAGGGGTCTAAAAATAATTAAAAAATAGACTAATATTTCCAGAGGGCATTCTAGTCTTTTCCCCATTAGCAAACGGAAATGACTAACAGCACATGACGGAAGTACTTGTTTGTCGTTTTAAATCTTTTGGGTATCAATCTGGCGTTTAGCCAAACCTTGGGTTGGTGTAAGTCGTTTGGCCTTAAATTAAACCACATTAAAATACAATTTGAAATTGCTGGCTCACTTGCTGATCAAATTGTTCGAGGTCACGAGTGTGATTATTTTTTCTATTAAAAAAGAAAAAAACGTTTATTTACACTAAACATCTACTTATATTTAAATATACGTGGGGTTCTATTGGGAGAGGGGTAGTGGATAATTGAATAAGCTATGTACAGCACACCCAGTGGCTCCCATTTCCTTTGTGTAATTTTATGGTTGGTCCAAAGAGAAAGCTGTAAAGATGATGCATTAACACCACTGAAAGCAACACCAAAACAACTCAAATCATCACTATTTCGTTTTAGCCTTAGCCTTAGTTAATTCCCATTTATTTATTTCTCCAGAGTTTGGTTGTGTGGTAGTTCACTCACCATATAATGTCTAATTACATGTTCATTTGAAGGTGCTACATAATATAGACGTTTAAACATTAATCATGCTAATTACATATAAATTCCTCTATAACTTTCAAGAAACTAAGACACTTGTAAATCTGGACATTAAAAACATGTTTTGTTTTTCATGAGAAGTACTGAATTCAAATAGCGAACACAGGCTGCACTCTGCAAGAGTAGTGATATTTTCAGCACAAACTGAAACAGAGACGCGTGCACATGTGGTCTTATTTAATGCCTTGAAGGCACTCTCCAACCCCCCCTCCAATGCCCATCTACTCCTTTTGTACTTATATATCCATTAACCACCCCATTTGCCTCTACTTTTGGCAAAAACTATGGACAAGCCCAGAGCAACAACAACATATGATGAGTTGGGAGCAATGTGAAAAGGTGATTGAGAATTCAAAGACTGAAGATATGGTGATATCATGCTTCGCGCTCTTGCCTTCATTCTCACCTTCATTTCTGCCGTTGTTGTGGGTGTCGATAAGGAGACTCAGATGGTTTCTTTCACTCTGTCAAAACTTTGCCTCCCCTCCATGTTCCTGTCACTGCTAAATGGCAGTATATTTCAGCTTTTATGTAAGTTAAAACTGTCTTTCTTTGCTTCAAGTTATTAGGATTCTTATTAAGTTTTTTTTCAATATCGTTTATAATTATGTTATTATATTTGGTAGGTACTTGCTGGTATCAGATGTTATAGCATCGCGTATGCAGGAGTATCGTGGGCATATTGATGGCCAAACCGAAACTAAATAATAGGTTGGAATTAGTAATGACATTGGTAGATTTAGCAATGAGGCTGCTATTCTCGGCTACAGGAGCTGCCAGGCAATAGGAGTGCTGGGTATGAATGGGAACTCGCACGTACAGTGGCACAAGGTTTGCATATGTGTTCGTGACTTCTGCCGGCAATTTGGGCTGGACTTGTTTTGTCTCTGCTTGGATCGTTTGCGTTCCTTTGCTGGTAGTCCTAGCTGTTTTCAATCTCTACAAGAGATCACGGTAGATAATATATAATAATATAAAACTAACAATTTGATCTGATGGAGCAGGATCAGGATAGTTAATTTGTTGTGGGCGATCAGAATTCTCCCTTGGCAGATCAGCTATACTGTTCATGTGGATTCCATTTACTTCCTCTTTTGGATCAACTACTGGCATGATTTCGTTTCTTCTTTTACTGTAGATGAGGTATAGTATCATCTGTGTGACCCCAAATGCTAGGCCCATAATGTTTGGTGTCTGATTAAGAACCAATACCATAAACATTGAGTACAAGTATTAGACAAATAATTTAGCTTTAATAGGATTAAGAAACTTGTATATATATATATATATATACTTACTGCGATGTAGAAATCCTCAACAGAAAGGCCATACATGAACCACATAACAGCGCAGATTGTGAGGCAGAAGGAGAGTGAAAATGGCATGTATTCTACGCTCTTTGTTTTTATGACTAACCTCTAAAAATATTTGATCAATCAAAGAAACACAGTTAATATTGATCAATGAAAAGTGAGTTGCGCATCAGAGTTGGTGTAAAGGGTACGTACAATGACACTAAGAGGAGCAGCAAAAACACAGACAGAGAAGACAGCACAGATCCATCCCACCACTGCAATTCGTCGAGGGCCCGTGGAGAATAGGTAGGTGAAGACTACAATCAATCCAAATGCTCCGAAGTTGAAGAAGATGAGCAACTTTGCCGTAGAAATCTGCAGATTAAGTAGTACAAAGTTTACAATAATATTTCACCACCTTAAATTCACAATAAAGAAGTGATCGAAATACCTTGGAACTTTTGGTTGCATAAATCATGTAGAAGATGAGGTATAAGGATTCTATGACGCATCCAACTGAGTTGATGGTTATGAGCATAAATGCATTAGCCTTCAGGTAGGCATAGTACAACGTCAGCATGGCGCTAAACAGTGCCACTGAATATGGTATTGATTGGAACCCTTCTGTCGATTTTTTCTTGAAAATGCGATAGAAGGTTGGCCTGTAATAAATTATAAGTAACAACTTAATTCAATTAAGTGAAATTCCAATAAATTATACAAAGAACGAATAAGAGACAGAGAGAAAGAGAGAGCTTACAATGGTGCCATATAAACAAGGCATGACACAATGTTACCTGCACAAAATGAAGAACATAAATTTTGATATATCCATGGAAATAGAATAACAATAATAAAAAAAGGGTCAAGTTAATGAAAGAAACGTTTGATAAGTAAGTATACCAAGAAGGCCAAAAATAATAGGCGTGTGAGTTCCAAGTATCGCCATTCTTGGTTTGAAGCTAAGTGCCTGCAGAGTAAAGCAGTTGAGAGTAGCACAGGGAGCTTATGAATTATTTGCAATGAATAGGTATATATACAGGTTATGAAGTGGCAGGTGCTGACATAGATGAATTGCTTTGTACAATATTCTACTTTGTTTTCTTGGAACAAATTAACTGTTCCGGAAATTTTGTGGGACGCAATTACAAACTAGGTGATGAGCTGGATACTTTAATTATACGAGCGTTATATGAACATTAATAGAACGCGTCTTTAAAAAGTCACTGAATTAAGGTTAGATTAGCCACATAACTTAGCTGTTGAAATATAAATGCATATTTACTTTGGGTAATTATACTGCAAAGTGCCCATTTATTGCTCCTCAGTAAGCCATAGCCAAGTGAAGTTTACATTTTTGGTTCCTGACAAAGTTTTTGATGGTAAGTATGAATTAAAATAGGAAGAAAAAATAAGTGAAGTTGGCATGCAATAATCAGAATTAGGCTACTTTGTATTAGTTTAATTAGTGGTTGTTGTGGATGTGGCTTGAAAAGTAAAGCGGCTTTTGAGATTGGAGGCAATTGTTGACGTGAAGAAAATGATGATAGTAATGGAAATAGCTAATTGGGAGACTTGTTTACGTTTGCTAAGTTGGATTTAGCACGGGAGATATCATAACCCCACTTCGCTCGCCGTTACGTTTAAACGGATTCCACTCATACCTTTTTCCTCCAATTACATGAACCCAACCCCATTTCTTTTCAAATCAGTTACTCCATATCTATCGTGGATCTCGATCTTCTTCTCGTCAATTTAACTATCACAAACTGACCATACTTTTTTAATCAATCAATTACTGTATTAATTTCATAAGGGTATTTTCTTATCATACTAATAATAATACGTAATAAATATGCCAGTAGTTTAACACGTTTTAGTGTCGTATATATATATAAATATAATGTGATCTTCTTCATAAATCGAGGCTTAGCTATCTACTTTAATAAAAACTCCTAAAATGGATACCAATCATATATCTACTTGTTTTACGTATTAATTAATGGTCTCTTTTTTTGGTTTATGTATTGCCTTCGTAGTTGATTATGCATATACAAATTATAAGAAACTGATATTTAATTAATGGGGGCTAATTAAGGAACATTTCAAGAGCAAATAGGCATGGAATCTTATCTTATAATAAAATAATTGACATCTATGGAATTTCATGTAATTTACAAGAAAATCAAACGTACGCTACTCCCTATCTATCATTTAAGTTAATTGAGATTTAAGAGAGTTCAAATCCATACCAAACATTTTAACAGTAGTGTTGTTAATTTTATTTATATATAGATGCATTCCATCTTTAAATATTTATATAATGTATATGAAAAATACTCAATTAATTCGTTATTGCGCAGTAAAAATGAAAGAAGATATCGTGTACGTTTATTTCAATCAGTTTAGGAAAGTTCTATAATTGACTTAACTTAATTATATGAATGTAGTAGTGAAAATCACTTGTGTCACAACCTTAGTGATTAATAAATCAATTGATCATTAAATTAACAAGTTAATTAAGACAAGCAAAGCATTTTCAAATGTTGCGATCGAATTAAGGAGAGAAGAGTTATATATATCTTTCTCTGATTCTCTATGTTGCGGCCAGGGACTCCAAAATAAGACATTAAATTAAACTACATATATAATACAATTTGAAATTGCCTGGCTTCACTTGCTGATTAAATTGTTAGAGGTCACGAGTGTGATTATTTTTTTCTATTGAAAAAGCAAAAAAACGTTTATTTACACTAAACATTCTTAATATTTAAATATACGTGGGGTTCTATTGGGAGAGGTAGGTGGTATGTATATTGAATAAGCATATGTACAGCACAGCCCAGTGGCCTCGCATTTCCTTTGTGTAATTTTATGGTTGGTCCAAAGAGAAAGGGCTGTAAATGATGATGCATTACAACCGACTTGAAAGCAACAAAACAAAACAACTCAATCACATATTTCGTTTTAGCCTTAGCCTTAGCCTTGGCCTTAGTAATTCCCATTTATTTATTTCTCCAGAGTTTGGTTGTGTGGTAGTTCACTCACCATATAAATGTCTAATTACATGTTCATTTGAAGGTGCTACATAATAATTAGACGTTTAAACATTAATCATGCTAATTACATATATAAATTCCTCTATAACTTTTAAGAAACTAATGACACTTGTAAATCTGGACATTAAAAACATGTTTTGTTTTTCATGAGAAGTACTGAATTCAAATAGCGAACACAGGCTGCACTCTGCAAGAGTAGTACATATTTCAGCATCAAACTGAAACAGAGACGCTGTGCACAGTGTGGTCTTATTTAATGCCTTGAATGCACCTACAAGTCTACAACCTCCCCCTCCAATGCCCATCTACTCCTTTTGTACTTATATATCCATTAAACCACCCATACTTGCTCTCTACTTTTGGCAAAAACTATGGACAAGCCCGAGAGCAACAACAACATAGTGAATGGAGTTGGGAGCAATGTGAAGAAGGTGATTGAGAATTCAAAGACTGAAAGATATAGTGATATCATGCTTCGCGCTCTTGCCTTCATTCTCACCTTCATTTCTGCCGTTGTTGTGGGTGTCGATAAGGAGACTCAGATGGTTTCTTTCACTCTCGTCAAAACTTTGCCTCCCCTCCATGTTCCTGTCACTGCTAAATGGCAGTATATATCAGCTTTTATGTAAGTTAAAACTGTCTTTCTTTGCTTCAAGTTATTAGGATTTCTTATTAATTTGTTTTTTTTTTTCAATATCGTTTATAATTATGTTATTATATATTGGTAGGTACTTGCTGGTATCAGATGTTATAGCATGCGCATATGCAGGAGTATCGTGGGCATACTGAATGGCCAAACCGAAACTAAATAATAGGTTGGAATTAGTAATGACATTGGTAGATTTAGCAATGATGGGACTGCTATTCTCGGCTACAGGAGCTGCCATGGCAATAGGAGTGCTGGGTATGAATGGGAACTCGCACGTACAGTGGCACAAGGTTTGCAATGTGTTCGGTGACTTCTGCCGGCAATTTGAGGCTGGACTTGTGTTGTCTCTGCTTGGATCGTTTGCGTTCCTTTTGCTGGTAGTCCTAGCTGTTTTCAATCTCTACAAGAGATCACGGTAGATAATAATAATAATAATAATAATAATAATAATATACAAGTTGATCTGATGGAGCAGGAGCACTTGGTTGATGGGTATAACTATTGGTAATTAGTTTATTTTATTATTTGGACATGTATAATTAATTGCTTGTTGGTGGGTGAGGCTGTATGACTAGTAAATGCCCTTTTGCTTTCTATTAATTAAATTTCATCCACTTCCAGACTGCGGGTTAGTGTTTTTTCAACAATAAACTAAGTTATTTTTATGGGCTACGGCTATGCCTATGCTGAAACCCAGTTGGACACACATCCTTGAGTTTTCTACACGTCTCTCAGTTAATTTTTTTCTACCTACAAACGAAGACTCAATTATTTATACCCTCCATTAAGTATTACTGTTATGTTCCACCCACCCACACCAAACTTAATTACTGCTATTCTACGTTGAATTAACTTCTAATCTATGTGGCAAGAAAAGTAATTGGGGTTGTAAATAAAATAACACCTAAGCGGATTGTTATTCTCTAGAATATTCTTATCTTATGTTATCAACAAACAAAACTGAACCACAAAATGATTAATCTAAATTATAATTGCTTCAACTTAATCAATAATTAACCTTTCATATGATCTTAACGAAACTCAAAGCCACCTCTCTGCGTACGTAGCACAACACAGAGGCAGTTGCAAGAGCAAATTCATCTACTCAACACAAGACTTTACAGTACACACAATACATGACTAACTTCTCCTGACAAAAACCATTTTTTAATACACTACTCATCCTGATATAAGCTGTGCTAGAGATTCGTCAGTGGTTACTGCTTACAAATGTACCATTAATGATCAATCTTTGCAAAACGTCCTTTAACTCTTGTCCTGCTTTCAGCCCGAACCTTTCTTGATTCATATCTGATGTGTTTATCATACCTGTTATAATCCGCTCTACAACCGTCAGTTTAAAACCAAACATAAACATATATGCATAGGAACCCATCAAAGTACACTGTAAGCTACATTTTATAATTTATATTCAAGTCCATGATGAATCATTTTATAAAAACACTTTTCTGAAAGCCAGAATATCTTGTTAAGAAATCATTTTTTGCACAAAATTAATAGACTACTGCAATTCTTGGAAATTAATAGGTGAAAAGGGCGTTATACCTCCGTGTTTTCTTTTTCTCCTTGTACCGTGAGAGTGCAGAATCTCTTTCTTGACTGTTTAATTCATGTAGACCAACTTTAGGAAAAACTGGTAATGTTTCAGTAGTAACTGGATGTTGAGATCCCCCTTCATCACCATCACTGACAACCCTTATACAGCCACCGATATCTGAATGTTTGTCTGGGACAACAGAAATGTCCTCAAAATGGTTTCTTGATACCATTGAAACAGGAACATAGCCAGGATTCTGAATCAGTAGGTTCAAAACATTAAAATTGATAAATTTACAATAAAATATATAATGAAGTAATAAGCATAAAAAAATATACTTTTAAAAGTTATATATACCAAATTATCAGTTCTACAATTGTCCTCGACCGATTTTTTATATTTTGAAAACGTTACGTAATTGCTTCATTGACAATTCTATCAAACATCTCTCTCTCTCTCTCTCTTATATATATATATATATAATAAGACAATCATTTAATAATTTATCTTCCATTCGATTCCGTAGTCGATTTTTTACAATTTTCATCGTAGAAAATACCCTTTCAACACTTATAGTTGCAACAGATAATGTCAATGCTAATTTTATATCTAACAAGATAACAACATAAACAAAAACACCCTCATGTTCTATACTATACTCCAACTGATTTGCATATTCTCTAAATCAAATGGGATTAAAACAATGCATTTAATTCCTAATTGCTCGCTTTTTAAAATTATGATTGTGTGGTTAGCAAAATCCTTTTTGCAAATATGTCTTTCTCACTTTGACTATCATTATGATGATATTCTAAAATTTTAATCCTCAATTCAAGATCTGCAAGAAGACTACTCAAGTTAAGCTCAATATATGTTTGTCTTGAACTAAATTTCATAGGCTCATTGTAAACACTATCGTGACACCTTATGTTTTGTTCGATTGATGGTTCCTCGTTAGAAATCTTACTTTTGATCAAAAACTTGTCCATAACTAAAAAAATAAAAGAATTTTTATTATCAGAAATATAATTTATTTGCAATTACAATTAAAAAACAAAATTGATCAAAATTCAACTCATAACTTAGGTTTTTTTAACAATTTCTACTCACCCAATAAAATTTAACTCATAAACCCATGAAAACCCATCAAATCTAACTCTAAATATGAAGCAATTAACCAATATATCAAAATTAAATCAAATCCTCAAATCTCTACAACTTAGTGTTTCATCAATTCTTTAAACCATATTAAAAATTAACTCAATAACTAACCACAGTTTATCAAACCCAACTTAAAACAACAATTAATTAACTCATACCTCAATATAAACAAGATTAAATCAAAATTCACATCAAAATCTAAGAATTATTTCAAACCCATTTATTAAACTCAACAAAAATCCAAAGGAGTAACCTTTCATGATCTTTCATCAATTAAGAAAGTTAAAAGAAAAGAATTAATTTTAAGTAAAAAAATAAAAATAAAAATAAAATTAATATCATCTTCCCTTGTAATCCAAAGGAATAACATTTCTTGAATATCCAACCAAAAAAAAAATATATAATATGAAAGCAAAATAGAGAAAATAAAGAAAAGAGAAAAATTTAAAAAGTATTAATTAATAATTTATTTTGTGGGGTCAACATGAAGTTAAGTTGGATTAAAATTGTAAAATCCATAAACTATTAATATTTTTTTGAAATTTTTGAAAAGTTCAGTGGGGTTCAATGAATCTTTAGTTGCTAAGGCTGCGTTTGGTTCACATATTATAGTTTTCCCAAAAAAGTTAAGTTTGCTTCACCTATCTTCAAAATACAATTCTAAATTATTCAATTTATTTAAACCCTCTAAATTTGTTAATTTAACTAAACAACCCCCAATTTTTTTTAAAAAAATTGACAAAAACACCCCAACAACCCAAATTTACCAGATTCCGGCCACGATTGTCGGAAGTTGGCCATAATCTAGTATAATGGCACACTATCAGCTGAATCTGGCCAGTAGTGCGCTGATCTAGCCTTTTCCGACCAGATCCACGGTGGATCTAGTCGGAAAAGGCCAGATCTTTGGCTGTTGACAGTCGTCAACGATGGCCAAGATAGGGTCGCCATCAATGACGGCCGTATCTTTGGTGGTCGTTGATGACCAAATGCAGCCAAATTTGGCCGTCAATGGCCAGATCTGGCCTTTTCCAGCCAGATCCACGGTGGATTTGGCCGGAAAAGGCCATATCGATGCAAGACCGGCAATATCAAGCCAGTCATACGTCAATACAGCAACTTCGACCACCCTTCGACAATGGTGACTGGTTGTCTGTATTTATGAGTGGATTGGGGATGTTTTTGTTAACTTTGAATATTTTATTATAGGGGTGTTTAGTAAATAAATAAACATAGAGGGTATTTATGTTAATTTTCAAAATTCTACATCGTAATACCCACCCAATTTAACTTTTTTTCAAAAGATTATTTTAAAAACTACCCAATAATAAACCAAACGGAGTCTAAATTAAGCCATTTCAATTGAAGTAAAAAATAAGCTGCAGCATCAAATTGATATTGCTGACATTAAAGCAAGGTCCAATTCCATGATCCAGCACTATATATAAGAATTTCCATAAACTTTGATGATAAGCCCATTCACCTTTTTTGTATAGGCATCCCAAACAGCATTGACCTGATGTCTTTCTCTTTTATTCATTGACTAGGTAATCGGTGAGATCCCTATTTAGTGATCTAATTCTCAGGATATTTGAAATGGTTTAATGGATAAGACCGCTCCAAGTTTGCATAAGATGCTGGGACAAAGGTGATGCTAGCATTATTCCAGATCTGTTGTATGTTACAAAGTATAACTGTGGCACTGCTGTTTTTTTAGTTCCGAACATTTCTAGGAAGGTGCAGAATTGTAAGACTCAAAACTTTACGTTGATGATATGAAATGAGTCATCCACATCCACTAATGGCTATACTCATAGCAATGGCTGATTGCCAAACAGCTCAGCTCAACAAGCAGTAAGAAAATTTCAAACCAAGAAGGTTTGAGGGGTTAGGTGAGCTAAGAGGTATGGTAGGATTGGAAGGTTGTAAGATATACTTGTGTCTACCAATCAAATGCATATTCGCTAAGGGCTAATTCAAATTTGTAACATTAAGATGATAATACATAGAGAGGAGCTCAACTTCTTCTCCACAGTAGCACTCGTATTTTGACATCCCTTTTGAGTGCTGATACTAATATTCTTTCACTTCCATTCAAGACATTCTTCTGACCTCAAATGGTTTATATTTGCAAAGGCTTAAAACTCTCTTTATAGTTGAAGCCAGAAAATCTTATTTTCGTATAAAATTCAGACACAACCTGCAAGTCGGTACAGTCCCCATTCCCCAAGGACTACACTCAATCCATCCATTATCACTCAGGCGAACACTTTCCATTTTCACCTCAACCAGCCATCTATCCTTGGACTTCACTGATCAAGTTCAAAACAATAAGAGTAACCATAAATGCAAGTAACATCTTGCCCACAACAATTTCAAACTTTGCACAAAGATACTACACATGAAACTTACATTCTTGAAGCATAAGGAATCAATTTCAAGATAACAAAAATGAAGCAAGATTTTACCTCGGAAGCAGGATAAGAGATTGGTTCTGCATCTGGTCCAGAACCAGTGTATATATTCGCTGGCTGCAAGTTTTGGTCAGGCACCGACGATTTGAACCTTATAATGGGTTTAGCATCCGCATTTTCATAATTCAACTCAGATTTCAACTTGCTGAGTTGACGAAGCTGGCAAAGCATTTCTTCCTTGTGTTTCCCACAAGCAGCATTTCGATTCTGATTCAACAACAATATCCTGAACCAAGTTAAACTACCATAGTCGATAGACAACTTCAATAGAATTGCCGATTAATAATTAATTACAAAAAAATAAAAAACTGCGAACAATGAATCAAGAAACAAAGAATAATTCGAGATATAACAGTTATTAGCTTGCACTAAGCATCACAAATTTGAATCAGCAAGATCACACACTCAATCTACAAAACAGGGAACCAAAAAAAAAAAAAACAAAAGGAAAACCCTAAATTTTATTTTACTCTCATATTAAACAAGCAAATAAGAATTGAAGGGTATAACTTTCCAAACTATCATTGGAAAACACTTCTAATATATTTTTATTCCCAAACAGATAGTGAAAAGGCAGATCAATCGAACTTGCAAAATCTTTTTTAAAAAAAAAAAGAACAATTTTTTAAAGATAAAATTAAATTTAACAAAAGAGAGAGAACATTTAGAACAGAAGAAGATACTTGCCTTGGGCAGAGGGGGCACGTCCAGAGCCTGAAAATTATCAGCCGAGTCACTCCTAACAATCAAGTCATCTATACTTAGAAACTCAGGAGGTTCCCAAACTAATAAATCCGATGATCTCATCGCCATAAAAACAATCGTTATTACTATCATTACTATTATCATCTCCCAAAAACAGAGCTTTATTGTCCAAATCATCGAACCCAAATATTGTGGAACAGCTCATTCACTGATGGAAATCCAGTGAAGAACTCAATCGGTCTACGATTATGCACAGATGAGACATAAAGGTGCTCTGGTTGTGATGTTCCCAGTCGCAATTGGAGCAGAGAACAGAGTGCTCTGTTTCGCAAAAGATTGAAGCAGGGGAAGAGTACAGGCATCACATAGCGGGAGGCGAGAGTGCTTGGAGAAAAGCAGATTTGTTGAGTGGACCTCTCGGTCACATGAGAAACAAAGCTTGGCGGAGTCTGCTCTGCAATATAAAGAGCTGTTTTGTCGTTACAGTAATCACAGAGTCGTTTTTGTTGTTCTTGCAGCTGGTTTTGTTGTGGCTGTGGCGGGGGTGTTTGTTGTGGTTTATGTGGAGCATCAGTCATTTCTAGCAGATTTTAATTGGGTTATATCTGTTGTTGCTTGAAAGTATAGAAGAAGAAAGAGAAGAGTATGTGAGGTTTAGGATGGAGATAAGTAGAGAAAGAGAGAGAGAGAGAGAGAGAGAAACAGAGTTAGAGAAATCGAGAGCTTATCATTTCTTGGGGTGCAAGAACTGTCTAAATCAAAAAAGTAGTTTTTTTAATGTGTAGTTCAAATGAAAACTTATTGGTTTAACCTTTTTGTCAAGTGCAAAAAAGGTTGTGAGCTTTTATTGTAATGTAGAGAAACAATGAAAAGTGTCGACATCATCCTCATCTTGACAACTAGCCTACGACAAGTACAACTACAACATTGGAATGGTAGATACTGGACATACAAGTAAATGCAAATTTATCTGCTGATTTTTTAAGGCAAAAAAAAAAAAGGTGGGGAAGAGAAAAAGTAAAGTTCCAAAAGGGCAAACAAATATTACTGTTAGACTGTTTGTTGTAAATGCATAAGCATGATTTAAGAATTTATGAAAGGGTCTTCTACAGTAAAGCTTAGATTATGAAATCTCATGAAATCTGCTGTTGATTTGTACACCAAAAGCTGATAATTAATGGTGTGGGGGCGATGCTCGCTACTTTTCTTTAAAGACAATGCTGGCAAGTGTCGCAGCCCTTAACAGCAGAAGCGGTCAACCAAATTATTCATTATTATTCAAAAGGGTTGCCTACTTTTGTTTTATCATTAATCAATAATATTATAATTATAATTATAGCTCACATGTATCATTCACGTGCTCAAATCTCAACTGTCCTTTACAAGAATTTTGTGAATCCTTTCATGAAAGTTCCAAAGTCTAAACCTTGTAGTAAAGCAATGTATGAAAATTTTCTCAACCAAACACCAGAAGTTTGCGTTAGCATCAACCTCCCTCTCTATTAAAATTCCCTCTCAAATTATGTAAAACAAGACAAGCAGCCGGTTACACAGATCCATCAAATTAAATCTTTCAGGAAATTCATCAGAGCAAGTCAAGCACTTTCAACTGCCACGCTCAGCCTTCTACTTTAGCACACTAAAAATAATTACACAGAATCGCCAATATATTCCTAAGGTATACAAGTTTTGCCATCACAAATGCTACAATCACTGATAAACCAACATTACTCAACAAATTAACAAGGTAACAAAAGCTTTGAATGCGAAACAAAATTAACTACATGAAATCAAGCCATGGTTGACGCAAATTTTGTAAACCAAATTCTTCCTAGTATATTGCATAATGGAACTTTTAAATTTGGTATATCTTACATACCAGAAATTTCTCTTGTTGAACCCAAATCCTCCAGTTACATATGAACATGGATTCTCTCAATCTAAGCTTTTAGTTAGAATACACATTAAACTTGTCATAGACAATAATGAAAATGAATAAGAAAATTAAAATACTTTCATATGTTGCAAGATCTTCCTAAGAGTTGGTGAATTCCAATCAAGAGATGACTCCAAGTCCGTTAAATTAAACTGCATATTTTCTGCTGCTCTTGTGGGCCTTTTCCTAGACAGGGGATGCAAACTATAAAAAAAAAAAAAAAAAAAAAAAAAAAAATCAATATACTTCTTGCACAAGAGGTGCACTTTCTTAACTAGAAACTTTGAAAAGAAACATGTAAACTCCTCACAATTGAACTGATTGACTGACTTTAAAAATTACTAAACATTTTCAGGGTCTGGTTCTGAAATCCTCCGGGTGTTATATGAGTTACACTGCACACACTTGTGTCCTAAAATGTGAAAGGGGGCTTTACTGGTACGGTTGCAGTCATTGCAGAGGATTGAAACCTGAAAAACACCCAAGCCACCCTCTGAGCTGTTTGATATAATACCGATTCACTTGCAGGTACAATCTAAAAACATAAATAAACAAACAATGCCGGGTGATCACAGCATGTTTGTAGCAAGCCAAAACAATAAAAAATGAAAAGCATGGATGAAGCTATTACATCGTACTGATACTCCTCAGGCATCTTATTAGCTTCCATCTGTCAAAAAGAAACTACATAAAGTCAATATTGTAGTAAACAAAAGTAGTAAAGAGACAATCATCCATCCAAGCAAACTAAGATATCTCAGTAAGACCCAGTAAAATCAACTCTTCAATATTGTCTCAACTACACACATAGCATACTAAATAGTTTTTTACGGTCAAACAAATTAGGGAACGTGGATGGAGATACTGAACACACAAAAATATATTGTTCAAGATGCACTAAACAAATAAAGTCTTTTACCTTTTTTTTTTTTTTTTTTTAAGGAAAACAAAGTCATTTACTTAAGCTCAAAAAAATAAATACATAACCTTTTAACAGCTAATTTAATTCAGTAGTTAAAGCTTAGTCCACTGCAACTCATGCTTAACCCTTCACAAGAACTTGAAGAAAGACATACTTTGATAGAGAGAGAAAGAGGATTATAAGACAACCCTTGAACTTGATAAAGAAAATGCATCACTGTTTACAAGCAAAGCTGTTCGAGATGAGGGAAAAGTCTCACTGTTTTTAAGTAGGAAATACAGTTTCCATCATAATGCATGCTGTATACAAGTGGCACGAGACAATTTGTACAATAGCACTTGTAAATGCTTATTATTCCAACAAGAAGGCATGACACAAAAATTTGAAGTTCCCTATTATGTTGTCAGCAAATTAATTTATGTCGACCAATTCGTAAAAAATTAATCTAAAAGGAAAATATTCCATACCTCCATATCTAACAACCGCCAATAGTCAGACATGTTAAGCACTGTCTTGGAGCAAATAGGGCAACGGTACCTGGCCAAAAAAAAACCCATATTATAAACAGCACAGAACAATTAGATTCTTCCAATGAATTTGAAAATTGATCTGAAGTTTACTGGTTTTGTTTAGTCATTTCCAAAAAGCAATCTGTATGCATTGTGTGCCCACATTTCATAACTGTTGAGTCTTTAACCGAGTCAAATAGATACTGTCAGCATAAAACAGTATTGTTAGGCTGATAAAATTCCGTCAACAGCAATCAATCTGACAGACAACAGTCAAACCACAAACCTCGTAACAAACAGGGCAGTAGTTCTTCATGGAGTTCTCCACGCACACATGATCATTGCACACACTGACTGAATAGCAAGATCCTGTGCTCTCACAATATACATTAGAAAGGGAAAGAAATCTACAAAAGGACAGACACCAACCCACCGCTCTCTCACACACTTAACTCTTAAAATGATACAATGACATAAAAAACAGTTTTGCATGCTTGCCTAGAAGACCAAAACGATAAACAGGAAAATATAATTAATTTATCATCTAAAATCGCAACGTATATAAACAATCAAAGGATAAGCAGCATCACGGCTAAAACTTCTAAATACAAACAGTTCAGGCTGTGGACTTGATAATAGCTTTATTTTATACTATTAGTGTATACACAGTTCAGGATACTAAAACCTTGCAAACAACCACTAGTAAAAAAGCGAAAAAAATTTGTTATTAGCGTATTTCCAGAAATTCAATAATAAAAGTTCTATCAAGGCATTTCCAGATTTCTAAGAATTCCTGAGGCTTCTAGGAATATTCAAGAAGAATAAACAAAAGCTTTTCTTGGAACAAAAGAGAATAATATTAATGAGTAAAAAGAGAGTGGATAAAAAATCCACTAGTTATTAGATCTCCCCTATTCTTCTTATTTTACTAAAACATGTATAAGAAAGAGTCAAACGAAATTATTAGCTTCAATGATAAATAGCTGTCTTAAATTGAAATCTTGATATCCTACATGCCTGAACAAATACTCTGAAATCAATGTCAGTTAAAGAAGGGAAAAATCATGGCAAAGTTTCAGTACACTTTTTTTTTTTTTTTTTCCTACCAAACTAAAAGGCCAAGCCAGGCCAAAGATGTGTGCCGAATGGTGATATATCAATGTGCTAAGAAGGTGAAAAGATGGCATACCACACTTCTGACAGTGAAAGAATTCATCACGGCCACCAACTCTGAAACCATAACAAACAGCATACGACAATTCATCACTTAGTTGAAGGCATGAAGACAAAAATGCAGAAACAGATTGACGTGGATATGAAATTAGTGACAATATAACTGGTGAACTAACCTACAAATCCCACAATCATCACAATGGAACTGTCCCTTTGAAATCTGCAAAATTAAAACTAAGCACGTGAACCAAAAAAAAAAAAAAAAAAAAAAAAAAAAAAAAAAAAAAAAAAAGAACCACGAAAATAAAGAAAATAAATCAACAATGACCAAATATAAAAGTTTGATTCTAGAACATTTAACTGACCAAGCACTTGAAACTACTTAACTTACATCATCATCATAGAATTTGCAAATATTGCAAAAATATTCACCCATTTTCACCCCACAGTTGACACAAATTTGAGCAACCTACAAACAGAAGAAGAGAAAGAAAGGAAAGGACATAGTCCTGCCTAAGATATTGGATAAACGAACAAAAGGGTAAGCAACTATGGGGTAGACGTAGATCCCAAAAAAACACCTCCTGCTCGGTATTGCAAAGTGAACAAACAACCTGGAAGACCAATTTGAAAAACATAGGAAATAAGCAATTTATCACACACATACATGTGAATAAAATAGAACAATTAAAACCAGGCATACATACTTGCTTAACATTTTGCCTGACAAGCTCGTGATGATCCTTGGGGTCGCTTAGCGAGTTCTAAATCAAAGACAAGAAATCCCACAATCGAATAAAATACCAAAAAGAAAAAAATCCATCAATTAAAAAAGAAAAATAATTGAGAGGTAAAAAAAAAAAAAACAAATAGAGAGAGAGCGAGTTACCACGGCCTCTTTATGGCAATGACGACAGGGAAAGATCTTATCGCAACAAGGAGCACGGATTTTGCATCGTCTCCGATAGTGCTCGCATCTAAGGAAAAGAAAAAAATTATAACACAATGAACTAGAATAAGAAGAAAATTTTCTGAAACATAAAATAGGAGGAGGCATAGGTTAGGGTTTATTAGTCTTGACCCGTATTGTAATTTTCCGACATCATGTTTTGCGGTGTGAGGATGCACAGACTGTTCTTCTTCCATCAATAATGTAACGTTAATGGCGGAGAGGAGCAGAGAGAAGAGAGGGGAGGACACGACAAAGCGGCGAAAGATTGATAATCTCCTTGGGTTTTGTCCTTCGTAAGCTAATATATTATAGTATTAGCGGGAGAGAGGCAAATCACTTATCACGTGGGATTAATACCACCAACCCACTTGGCTTCCTACACGTGTCTTTATAGTGTTACAACTTACAACTTAGGAAGCTAGCCTTTCAACTTTATTAAAATATAATCTATTGAATATTATTTTGATATTTTCATTTCGCATCGTTTAACATTATGATAAATTAGACTTAGTTACTTTATTTATTGAGTATTCAACTTCTCTCAACTCTCAACATCTAACGCTTTTGGCTATGGGACTTACATTAACAAATACATAATAATAAATCATTATATAAAAGAAAAAATATTTTCTTCAGATTGGCATGGTTAGCACTAATCGCTGATAATGAAGTCTTAAATTAATAAAGCAATTACAATTTACAAGTCAACTTTGGATGATGTTATCTGATGTAGTTTACACCCTTTCCTTTGTATTTGGAGAAGTTTTAAAAAATCCAATCATCTTTCCAACTGATTTCTCTAAAGAATCACCTAATCAACAGAAAAAAATTCGACCACAGTTATTTTAGTATGTGCTGTAAAGACATATTAAGATTACCTATGAATAAAAAAATTATTAAAATATATATATTTTTTAATCTTTATAAAATGTATCAAAACTCAAAAGAATCAATGATGCGCCGGAAGGGCATAGGGATAAAACAACTCCTCTCAATTGTTCAAGGAAAAAGAGAGTACCGGAATCCCGAGAAGCATATACACTCCTGAGACTTCATGCTTTTATCTCAAGGGAAATCTAAAACAATATCACTCCCATTATCCGCTAAAAAAAAGGACAAAATTGAAAATTCCATGCTTTACATATATATCAACAAGCAAAGCATGTGTATATATAAAGCCGGAAAAGATACAACTATCGAAGGTTATACACCGAATTTATGCACCGAATGACATGACAAAATCCTAACCNATAAAACAACTCCTCTCAATTGGTCAAGAAAAAAAAGAGTACCGGAATCCCGAGATGCATATACACTCTTGAGACTTCATGCTTTTATCTCAAGTGATATATAAAACAATATCACTCCCATTATCCGCTAAAAAAAAGGACAAAATTGAAAATTCCATGCTTTACATATATATCAACAAGCAAAGCATGTGTATATATAAAGCCGGAAAAGATACAACTATCGAAGGTTATACACCGAATTTATGCACCGAATGACATGACAAAATCCTAACCGTCGATTAATATTAAGTTAAAAATTAATCAACGGTTAGGATTTTGTCACGTCATTCGGTGCATGAATTCGGTGCACTACTTCGGTGACTGTAGCATTACTCATATAAAGCACAAGGAAGAAGCATGGGATGTGGATACATCCGAATCTGCATTCACCTGAACGGTAAAGGCATGCTGATTTTGTTTATCCAAGAATGATGGTAACATGAACAACACTTAAAACAATCACTATAACAGAGGCAGCCTACATACATGTTTGGGCAATTAAAATGTAGAACAGACTTATCATGAAGTGAAGTAAAACAAATACAAATCACACTCAAGCTTGCATACACGTATATGGCAATTTGAACATAGCAAAAGTATACAATGTTAAATGCTCATTCCATCTCGTTAGGCCACAAAGCATTCTTCCCAACTCAAAGGATAGTACATGAGCACGAATTCTGCTTCTGCATCTCTTCATGGTTCTTGTCTGCATTTCACCATAAGGAGGAATGTCAATTCATCTGATGGTAGATGTAAGAATCTTAGTCCAATCAATTGGAGCATGCATATCAATATCACGCAAAATCATGACTAGATAATACTAATACGTGCCGAATTATCAGAAATAAGGTCATCACCATTATTGCCAACAACAATTACACTGGTTCTCTAAAGGCATAAAAAGGAACCAGCTTAAGTAATTTAAACAACTACTAAAATTCAAATTGAGTCAGGACTCTTGACAACTTGATATTTGATCACTCAACTGAAGAACAGGATTTGTTTCCTACACAAAATGCTAGCTATATTCATTGTCATATGGAGCTCTTGGATTTATAATTTGGAAATACTTGTCAAAGAGATTGAACCTAAAATCTTAAACTGTTCTACGAAGTGCCAGGAACCACTAACTCAATGCTAAAGAATTTGTAATCTTCTCAGTTAAACTAACAATTCAGTCCTTTTAATCAGTTTTTCACTCTACAAAGAGATAGCTTTACCTTTGGTGAACAGGAAGCAAACATCAATTTTGGGATACTGTAATATAACAAGGATGACATCCAGGTATCTAGTGGCTGATTGTAGGCGATCTTAATGAAAAATAAGAACTCCTGAAACCAGGTTCATGGAATCAGGAAAGAATCCATGTTATTTTTTTTCCATAAAATAAAGCAAGCCAACAACAAACAAGCATACAGAATACAACAAAGAGAAACATTAGTCCACATCCATTTTACACATTTGCATATATCTCACAAGGATTCTTAAATAACCTAAAGACCAGTCCAAAAGAAATTTAAATGCAAAAGGAATTGCACATAGATTAAACTGGGCAAAACTTAATGGGAGACAAGACAATCTTATACAGACTATATCCTTTCATGTGCATGATGGACAACCCAGAAGCTGAATAAATTCCAAAATAGATTCTGCTTATCAGATATAAGGGATGAGAAACTAAACAAACCTCTCTTCTTTTTAGCTAAAGGAGGCTGTATGACGACGTGCATGGTAATGACACCATTAGGAAGGTCGCCCATGGTAACTCTTGAATCAGCCAATGTCTTGTTATTCTCCAAAACTTTACCAGCATGTATAAGTTTTACATCATTTACTGACTTGGGTGTGATCGTTTTATCTGAATATGCAAAGATCCCATAAAAAACTTGGATGGAGAAATACCACCAGAAAAAATATGAAAACCTAAATCCTGTAATTTTGCATTCACACACATGTACATAGCCAGCAACAACCATAAAATTATTATTTAATTGTGGAAATGCCATGTCAGCTTCATATTAGAGAAGAAGTAGTCAATAATTTCATCTGTTAATCCTTATTTAAGTTTGAATTTGTCTTTTGAATTGTGTGATCTTTATTGTGAATTTGTGTTTGTATTTTGAACTTCTGGTATCATATCTGTTACCTGGACTTGTATATATACCTGTGATGTTGAATAAAAAGGCAAGCAGCCAAAACACTTTCTCCTCACTCGTTTCTGCTTCTATTATAGTGCATGCGTACATATATCTTATAAATTGAAAATAAAATTTTCATTCCAAAACGTCATACAAGATAAACTTTTGATCTAATAATAAGGATCATAGGTGAAGGGCATACAAGAATGAAAGCAAGAAGACAAACAGACACAAGATGGCAGCGTTTCAACGATTTCAAGTCTAATAAAATAATAAATCCACGATAGGATGGCAAGGTTTATAAAAAGTGTGTTAAGGCTGATTCTAATGCATAAACCTTATCAGACTAATGGAGTTTTTTATCGAGATCTTCAATAGGTTTTGTGATTGACGTTAAGTCAAGTTTATATGTTGATTTAGTGATTGTGCGGCATGATTTTCTTTTATTAATCAGGGTTATTCTGATAATTTTGATATTTGTTGGCCATAAGCTGAAATTGCGTTAATGAGTATTAAAACAAACTGAAACAGGAACCCAAAGAACCTTGGTTCAACATTATTTATTTCTGTTATTGGGTTATTATGTGTGCTAAGAGCTTTGCTCACAACACTTTCTTTATAGATAAAATAAGACAAGGAATCCAAAGAAAGAACATAGCACATAGACATAGTACAATCATTCTCAAATCATGTTCAGGTCAAACAGTAATCGAGACAAATGCAATAAAGCCAGTTCACTGAGTCTGAACACTCTCATTTAATCAACAAAATAACCAGTTCATGAGTAAACAGCAAATGAGAGTAATAACCTTGAGGCCACTCAGCAACTAGCCTTTGCTTGAGAGTTGCAACAGAGGTAGATGGTGCATAAGTACTATGGCCGATATCTGTTCCATCATAAATGCGGAATTTAAGCTCAACACGTTGTTCTCCTTCAGCCATAGTGCCTTTCTCGTTTTCCCAGCTTGCAAAATCCAATGAAATACAAAATCTACAGATCCAGACCCAGTCCCAGCCACAGAATTCAGTCACAAGAATTCACATACACAACTTAAAGCCAAGATTCATGCAACACTTATCTGTTTAGCTTTCCAGAAAATAGAGCTAAACAACAGAATAACGAAAAGTTCTATAATTCTTTCCACATTTTTTTTTTTAATAAAAGATACAACTTACTTTTCTTTCTTCAATTAATATTTTCAAATATAATCTTCTTATCATGTTTCTCTATCCATCACTTCTTAACAGCCTACAATTGAAAAATTAAATTTCATTTCTAGCATGACCTAAATTGCCAAGCAAACAGTTCGTCCCTTCTCCAAGATTTTGACTGTAAATCGGGAAATAAGTAAACAACAACTAAAGTCAAAGCGTATAGAAAAGAAACATGAATTTGATCAAAATTCGTTTAAACCAACCTCTGTGAATTTGATAAAAAGTTTGTTTGGAGTGAAAACATGCAAGAAAAGTACATAGCCAAACCAATCCAACAAACACTTCATATGATCCAATCACTCTCCGCTCACTCAATTCCTGCAACAAAAACAGACTGTCTTCAACACCAAAAAAACCTAATTATGAAATTTCAACAAAAACCAAATTCCAGAAATCCAATCTCAACCAGACATCCAAAATCAAGAAAATCAATAAAAGAGAAGGTAAAACAGTTGAAAATTGGAAATAATACCTAATCAAGAAGCCATAGATTGAATTAGGGTTCACAGTCTTGAGCTACAGTGTCGGTGCTCTGTTACTTGTTCTGTTAGTTAAATTTCTTTTCACGATCTTTCCTTTTTCTATTTTTTCCGTGAAAATCTGGTATCCGTCTGCATGATAAGATGTGGAATTTATTTATAGTTAGGGAGTCGGATTGTGTAGCCTCGCCAAAGCGTGAGGCTAGAGAGTACACAGATTATAACGAGCCACGTCAAGTTGTGGTTGGTTGCTTATTTTACAGAATGACTAAATTACCACCTTATAGGCGCCTGGCAACTTGTGGGTGGGGAAACGAAACGGAGCCCCATCATATCGCGTAGTAGCCTAGTAGGTACATGGAGATCCTACGGCGTGACTATGGTGTAGAAACCGACTTTATGAGGCCGTTGGGTGACTTTGGTCCACTACAGAAATTGTATAGAAGAATAAAAAAGCCGTTACTATTAGTTGTTAATACCCCCAAAAAAGGGAGGGTAGAGAAAAATGGCTTCTGTCCACGTCACACTTTCTTATGGGTACAAATTTAGTCTTTTTCGTTAAAAAAAAAAATTCATATTTTGTAAAATTAGATTCTTTATTTACACATATTTCAATTAATTTCTCGTAACCTTAAAACTATCGATCGAATAAGAGTTACAGTGACTATTTTATTAATATCTGAAGGGAGATTCGAACTTATATTCATTTTTAAAATAAGTTCAACTTCACCCAAATTTTAAAAATTTATTAACACTTGGTTATTTATTAGTGATTAAACATTATTAAAAATGTAAATAATACTTGACGTGTTTGACGAGATACGAAGCAGTCATATTTGGCACCAAAGAAGAAAATAGAGAGGGAGAGATAGTTGCAGACAGAGGCGAAGATGGCAACAAAGTTGGGTTGGGTGTTCGTGTCATTGTCGAATAATATTTATTGTATATTTGGTCCAGATACCAATTTGCTATTTCTGTAAAGCAAAGAAAGAATATAGTGAAGAAAATGGTGACTTGACATGCATGATATAACCCACCAGAGGCAGACAGCGGCACCTCAGGTGGCACACTGCCACACGTATAGGTGGGAGAGCATACAGAAGTTCCAAATTTTCAATATCAATATCAATTTCACTTTTTACTTTTGCTTATGCATTCTAATGAGACTAGATTTTGTAATAAGTTTATCATTGCTAAACATGTTATGCTTATTATAATTAAAATTTTTTTTCATTTTTATATTTTTGGATTTAGTTTGGATGAATTTTTTTAATGGTAATCAATAATAATATATGATACTTTTATTTTTCTTATTATATAATATGTTTGTATTTTTTTTCTTCCAAATGTCATTAATAATTAAATATATAAGTATATGACATTTTAATTAAAAAGTAATAATTATTAGATACATAGCATGACAATTTAATAACATAATAGATTATATAATCAAGTGATATAATATAGTAATCCAATAACATATAGCTTCATATTTTTTTAAAGTAATCAATATTAAATATTATAAGATAGAATTTTAATTAATAATAATAAATAAGTATGATAAATTGATAAACATAACATATTGTATAATCAAGTGATGTAGCATAACAAATTTAATAATATAATAGCTTAATTAACCTAAATTAATCATACATTTGTATTGATCAATATTACAATAAACCCTCATACCACTATGAATTTATAGGTGTTGATATAAAATATCATGTGAACGTAATGATAATATATAATAAATATTATATATATATATATATATAATATATATATATTCTTATATCTATATATAACAATTAATCACACATATGTATTGATCATATATATAATAGACTTTCATTCCACTATAATTTATGGGCGTTGATATAAATATATATGTAAACATTTACAATATATGATAATTTATGTAATAATAATAAATATATGATAACCTATAATTTTGATAATTTCATAACATATTTAACACATATATATAACAAATTAATCACACATATGTATTGATCTTATTACAATAGACTTTCATTCCACTATAAATTTATGATTGTTGATACAAAATATATGTAAACATTTAAAATATTTATGAAACTTATGTATGATAAAAATATATGATAACCTATATTTTGGTAATTTCATAACATATTTAACCTATGATTAATTATGTATGATAATAATTTGTATACACAATCTCACATTATATATAACAAATTAACACATTATATATAACAAATTAATCACACACATATATTGATTATATATTATAATAGACTCTCATTTCACTATGAATTTATGGGTGTTGATACAAAATATTATATAACATTTAAAACATTTACGTAATTTATGTAATGATAATAAATATATGATAATCTATCATTTTGTTAATTTCATAACATATAAACATATTTAATTTAGGATTAATATATATATGATAATAATTTTGTACATACTATATAGTGGCATGTTCACTCCTTGGAATCCTTTGGTTGTGCTGTAAGTCTATGCAAAATGCAAATTCCTTTTGTTTGTGTCATGTTTGATATGAACTAAATTTTTTTTGAACGATTTATTGTTCTGTTTAATTTATTTTGAAGTTTTATTATTTATGATGGTTATTTATTTTAATTTATTGAGTTTTTTATTGATTTATTTAAAATATAAATAGATAGGAGTTGATTATTTTCAAATGTTGTTAAATGGTTATGAATTATAAATTGTTGCATATTTGTTTTTAGAGCATGAATTGAAAAGTTGTTTGTATTTTTTTATTCGACATGTATTCGAACGAGTTATTCGAACATGTATTACAAATTATCGAACGATTATTCGAACAGATATTTATGAGTTAGTTGAACGAGTTAGTCGAACAAGTTGTCGAATGAACACGAACGGATCCGAACGAACACACAACGGCTTTTTGTTAATCGATGAACACGAACACATATTCTGTGTTCGCACGAACATGAACATCGAACATACTTATCGAACGATTTTCAAACGGGCTTGTTCGTTCTTTTTCGGTTCGATTGCAGGCCTAGACATTCTCAAATCATGTTCAGGTCAAACAGTAATCGAGACAAATGCAATAAAGCCAGTTCACTGAGTCTGAACACTCTCATTTAATCAACAAAATAACCAGTTCATGAGTAAACAGCAAATGAGAGTAATAACCTTGAGGCCACTCAGCAACTAGCCTTTGCTTGAGAGTTGCAACAGAGGTAGATGGTGCATAAGTACTATGGCCGATATCTGTTCCATCATAAATGCGGAATTTAAGCTCAACACGTTGTTCTCCTTCAGCCATAGTGCCTTTCTCGTTTTCCCAGCTTGCAAAATCCAATGAAATACAAAATCTACAGATCCAGACCCAGTCCCAGCCACAGAATTCAGTCACAAGAATTCACATACACAACTTAAAGCCAAGATTCATGCAACACTTATCTGTTTAGCTTTCCAGAAAATAGAGCTAAACAACAGAATAACGAAAAGTTCTATAATTCTTTCCACATTTTTTTTTTTAATAAAAGATACAACTTACTTTTCTTTCTTCAATTAATATTTTCAAATATAATCTTCTTATCATGTTTCTCTATCCATCACTTCTTAACAGCCTACAATTGAAAAATTAAATTTCATTTCTAGCATGACCTAAATTGCCAAGCAAACAGTTCGTCCCTTCTCCAAGATTTTGACTGTAAATCGGGAAATAAGTAAACAACAACTAAAGTCAAAGCGTATAGAAAAGAAACATGAATTTGATCAAAATTCGTTTAAACCAACCTCTGTGAATTTGATAAAAAGTTTGTTTGGAGTGAAAACATGCAAGAAAAGTACATAGCCAAACCAATCCAACAAGCACTTCATATGATCCAATCACTCTCCGCTCACTCAATTCCTGCAACAAAAACAGACTGTCTTCAACACCGACAAAACCTAATTATGAAATTTCAACAAAAACCAAATTCTAGAAATCCAATCTCAACCAGACATCCAAAATCAAGAAAATCAATAAAAGAGAAGGTAAAACAGTTGAAAATTGGAAATAATACCTAATCAAGAAGCCATAGATTGAATTAGGGTTCACAGTCTGGAGCTACAGTGACGGTGCTCTGTTACTTGTTCTGTTAGTTAAATTTCTTTACACGATCTTTCCTTTTTCTATTTTTTCCGTGAAAATCTGGTATCTGTCTGCATGATAAGATGTTGAATTTATTTATAGTTAGGGAGTCGAATTGTGTAAGCTCGCCAAAGCGTGAGACTAGAGAGTACACAGATTATAACGAGCCACGTCAAGTTGTGGTTGGTTGCTTATTTTACAGAATGACTAAATTACCCCCATATAGGCGCCTGGCAACTTGTGGGTGGGGAAACGAAACGGAGACCCGTCATATCGCGTAGTAGCCTAGCAGGTAGTTGGAGATCCAACGGCGTGACTTTGGTGTAGAAACCGACTTTATGATGCCGTTGGGTGACTTGGGTCCATTACTGAAATTGTATAGAAGAATAAAAAAGCCGTTACTATTAGTCCTAAAAACAGGGAGGGTAAAAAAAAAAACAATAATACTATATTTATAAAGATTTTCATATAAAATTAAGTGATAAAAAATAAATAAAAGAGTAAAATAAAAAATTAAACTTATTAAATTTACTCTTTTATTCATTTTTTATCACATCACTTTATATAAAAATTTTTGTAAAAATTTGTTGTAAGTATAGTATTACTCAAAGAAAAATGTATTCTGTCCATATCACACTTTTTTATGGATACAAATTTTTGTCTTTTTCGTTAAAAAAAATCATATTTTATAAAATTAGATTCTTTATTTTATTTTGTATAAGTAGGAGTGTCTGGACTAGTTTAAACCTTAAAACTATTGATCGTGACTACCTTATTAACATCCGATGAGATATTCGAACTCAGATTCATTCTTGAGATAAGTTCAACTTCACCCAAATTTTAAAAATTTACTAACACTTGGTTATTTATTAGTAATTAAACATTATTAAAAATGTAAATATTATAGTTTGATAAATACACCAAAGTTTTATACATACAAATCACAATTGATACTTGACGTGTTTGACGAGATACGAAGCAATCATATTTGGCACCAAAGAAGAAAATAGAGATGGAGAGATAGTTGCAGAGAGAGGTGAAGATGGCAACAAAGTTGGGTTGGGTGTTCGTGTCATTGTCGAATAATATTATTGTATATTTGGTCCAGATACCAATTTGCTATTTCTGCAAAGCAAAGAAAGAATATAGTGAAGAAAATGGTGACTTGACATGCATGATATAACCCACCAGAGCCAGACAGTGGTAGGGCTACAAACGAACCGAACAATTCACGAATGTTTGTTGTTCGTTCGATTACTGTTCG